ATGCACGAATCCTCATAAAAAAACCACCGGACTGGTCCTTTACCTCCACCGTATTCTTTTATCTCCAGTTTGTAGTTTTCTGTTGTTGTGAAACAAAACGAAGAACAAAAATTAATGAAACAAAGATTGGTTACGGATTAAAAGAGAAAGGAGATAAGCAACATTTTGATAACGAAAAATGTACCATCACCGGCGGCGGAGGTAGCTTCTCTCGAGGAGGATGCACTCATTCTCGAATTCAGATGCCTTTGGAATGTTTTGAGTTTAAGAGTGAGTTGATTGAATGATGCTAATGGCGATGATCTAGTTGCTACTTATAGCCGGAAGAAGATATTTTGTGTAATCCAATGACTAGTTGGGCTCAAAAAGGTATGGGCTAGGTTATAGTGGGCCAAGTCGATAGGCCCAATGTGTCGATCAACCTAAAACTAACAACAAACTAATGGACGGTTTCAAAATCTTAATAACGTTGATGACGAACGTCTAACTCATCCTCCTAATTCTTTTATAATGTTACCAAATCCAATGACTAGTTGACACGCGGTCAATCAGATTCTTACATATGATTTTTGTTTGTTTTTGCACCATCTTTTATAATAAGATAGATTTGGATGTATTAAGTAAATTAAAAGTATTTAACTATATGAAAGCTATATAAATTATGAAATCTATGACATGGAGCTAAATAATATAAACTAAAATATATTCAAAAATTATGCTAGATTTTTGTTTCTTAATTTCTTTAAAACTTAACCTTATATATATAATTAGATATATTATGTACAATATAGTTAGATATATTATATATATATGTGAAAACATTAAGGTAGATTATATCAATTTTACATTAATTGCTACAACTATTGTATAAAGATGTAAGACATATTATGTCATATATGGAGAAGGTAATCTAAGTTTTAAGCTCATATTATGATTTTAGATTATGTTATTTAATTCCTCTTTTAGGGGAAAAAAACTCTTTTTTCTTGTCCTTTTTTCTCATTTAACTTTTTTTTATATTATATATTGCATTATGTTGTTATCTTCATGGTTACACCAAAGACCAAATGATGCATGTAATCCTTCCGTGGGAATTGGTAGAAGAGATACTCTATCGTGTTCCGCCTCTATCTTTAATCCGATTCAAAATCGTTTGCAAACAATGGAACACACTTTTCAAAAGCAAATCGTTCGTCAACAACCACTTGGTTCGTGTCCGTCCTCAATTCCTCTTATGGACCGATTCCAAGATGTATTCGGTAAGCATCAATCTCAACAATGATCCAAAGATAGATATGCGTGAGTTACCCTTAGATATTTCTTATTTGAACAATTGTACGCGTACCAGCTTTACTCCTTGTGATGGCCTATTGTTTTGTGACTCGCGGTCATGGAAAAATAAAGCTGCGGTTTGGAACCCGTGGTTGAGACAAACTAAATGGATAGAGTCTGAGGACGAACATTTATATTTTCGTGGCATAGGATATGATAGTGGTAGACCTGAAAAAAGTCACAAGATCTTTGGGTTAGGTACTTGTAAGCGAGAACTCAGTAACGATACAATCGGGTTCGGGCTCAATACAATGCCAGTATACCGAAGAGTTGATATCTACAAGTTAGAAACTAATGTGTGGAAGAGTATTAATACCTCATCTGCAGCAGTAGAGATCCGCACATTTAGTGATGTGTCTTTGAATGGAAATTTGTATTGGGTTCTTACCAATCACGATACAAATGAGTATTTTATCGAAAGTTTCGATTTTTCGAAAGAGATATATAAATTTTTTTGCGCTCTACCGTGGGATTACAAATCTTTTGCTTTTCCAGTCCTCTCAACTTTTAGGAAAAATCGACTTTCAGTGTTAAAAAGAATGACCGCAACAAATAATACTGAGATTTGGGTGACAAAAGACAAGATTAATGACGATGGGGAGCATGTAGCATGGATAAAGTTCATGACAGTTTCAGTACCTATTTCTAGTTACTCTCGTCCAAGTTACTTCATCGATAATGTCTACCAAAAGAGCCTTATCATGTGTTGTGAGGATGAAAATAGCAAGCTTTGCATTTATATTGTGAGGGGTAATGCGCTGACGAAGACTCAAATTATAGGTGTTGATGCTAAACATTTTATTAATTATTGTTCCTATGTTCCCAGTTTGATCCCAGTTCCTTGAGAGAGTTCAGATTCAAGAACTAGTATTTTAATATTTATTATTTTGGCTTTCTTGTTTTTTTTACCAGTTCTATAAATTGATTTAAAAGTTTGTTCATTCAATAACTTTTTGGTTAATGTAATAATATATATTTCAATTAAAAAAAGAAGCATATTATCGTTAGATAAAAGTCTAATTTTTCGAGCAATGTACGTAAAGTTGATAATGTCTTACAAGTTACTTCTATGTGACAATTACACTTCCCAATTTTCAGATTTTAACTTTCCCTTGTCACATTTCAAGCATCTTCTCGAATGGATAAACTAAGAAGAACAATCTTGGTTCGATTTCAATTTGGCGAATTCGCCGTACACTTCTTCTATGAGTTGATCATCGTCCCATTGATCGCGATAACTGTCGCCACCAAAGAAAATTTTCTTGATGGCAACATTGTATAATCGCTCTCTCCAACGTTCTATGGACGTGCAGCCACACTGTTTTGCAATCCAGTTGAAGTAATCGCTTTGAGAGATCACAACTGCATCCTTCGGTTTAAACGTCCCGAGCATTGGATTCCCTAGAGGATCGGTTAGAAAATGTGTATATCTCTTAGGAATCCCCAAATCTTCAAGCTTCGTGTAGAAAGCTATAGCCTCTTCCATCATCTTATCCTCTGTGGGAAGCTTAACCCGCCCCGACAAAACCGAAGCAACCCACTTGCTCTGGATTTCAAACATAAAGAACTGAAGCCCCTGGATTATAAGAACAAAGATCAAACCAAGAAGTGAGCCCAAAATAAAATCGAAGTCGTTATTTAAGTAATAATTAGAAGATTGCAGATATTATACTATCATGTGATTCAATAATGTTACCCTTTAAGTAGTTTTGCATTATGAACAAACACTTGATCCTAAGAGATTCAATAGCTAACAAAAGATTTTTAGTATTATCCCTAACATTCCTCTCTTAGAACTTTCATAACTACCCTACCATTTAATACTAACCATGAAAGGTATTCCAAGATTATCCAAACATTCTAAATCTCTTAAACTACCATTTCTATCTAACATGTAGTAATACTAACCATGAAAGGTAAACCAATAAAGGAGATCCCAGGCGCAAGTGCGGGTGGGAAAACATGCTTGTAGAGCGGTCCAACACGGTTATCCTCGACAGTAACATAACCGTTGGTTTTAAGAAACGGGAAATGATACTTGTAACCGGTGCAATGAACTATAGCATCAGCAAAAACCACTTTCCCGTTTCGGAATACCACAGAACCATCCTCGCGGGCGCGGTATATCTACAACATATCAAGGGAAATTGAAGAAATCAAATGATCATATATATATTGACATTCTCAGTAGTCTTTATGTTTTCATTGTTCTACCGTAGGGTGAATCCGTAGGTTGTCGTAACAGCCGTATGAATCGGATGCAACAGCTTTAGACGAGATATGAACTTCTTTTGCAATGGTTGCTATGTCTTTACTAATGTCGTTTCCGCTGGCTTGACTTCCTATAACTATCACCACCTACAAAACATGTCAAACAACAATCAATGTAGAGATCTTAAGCAAGTCTATAAAGAACTAATATTATGAGGAATATAAAAGATTTTGCAAAAGACCTGATCTTTGAATAAATCTGGAGTCCGATAATTGTGGCTATGGATCTGCTTTCCTGGCCATGACTCTATCCCTAAACGACTAAAACAAGATAATTAAGAAACTAATCAACCATTAATTACAAACTAATCATACTTTTAAGTAACCAAAAAAGTTACTTACCAGGAATATGAGCAAGACGAGGCTCAGTGAAGTGACCATTACAAATGACGACAGCGTCGAAGATTTCTTCGCCGGAGACACCACTTGAGCTCTTAAACTGAACTCTCCATTTATGTTTATTCTCCGGCGTCGGCTCCACACACAAAACCTCTGTATCGAATCGGATCATCTCTTCGATCTTGAACTCTTTGGCGAAATCTTGGAGGTACATCAAGACTTCCCTATGATCCGGGTACCGTCTCGGGTCGCCCTTACCGGATCGGGTTACGAAGGGAAAGTCACTGTAACCCATACACTCTCGTGGGAGATTGGTGCGGAGGGATTGGTAGATGCTCGAGTGTACGATGGTTCGATCCGGGTCAACGCTAAGTGAGTGTGGTTCGACTAGATCAGTGTAAACCCAGAGTCCACCAACATGTTTCTCACGCTCGAAACCGGTTACAGTGTGACCTTCACGACGAAGCTCTCGAACCGCCACGAGCCCGGCGGCTCCGAGTCCGATCACGGCCACGTGACGAGCACGTGAGGTGATTAGGCTGGTCATAGTGTCAAGTCAATTAATGTCAAACTATTTGGACACTACCAAACGTTGTGCATATATATACTAACAGACCCTATATTATGGAATCTTTATAGATTCCACCCCATAATAATGTTTAATAAATATACGAACCCACAAATTTCCAAAGACACAAAATCTTTTCTCCTTTAAGTTTTCCTAGCCATATATCAGAAAAATGTGTTTTCTTTTGTGTAACCAGAATTTGTTTATCTTGGTAGTTTGTTCTTATAACATTTTGATGAAAACTTCCGGAAACTGAAAAATTCTGAATAGCTTTTAAAAGTCATTAATTAAGGGAAAAAAGAAAAGAAAAGGAGATTGAGACAGAGAGACGTGGGTGCAGACAGAAGATAAAGAAAGGTGTCGTGCCATCAACTAAGTTTCTATAAATAGATTGAAGAGACAAAAAGGATTAATAACCAATCAAAAATCCCGTTATTGTAGACAAGAAAAGGGATTATATAACAAGAAGACAATAAGAAAAAAGCAACCAAGAACACGAAGAAAGAGAAATTCAAGGTACGTATACATTGTCTCCTTTCGTTTCATCTAATATCTATTCCAATTGCTTTCCATGGTTTTGTTATGTAAAAATATTTCTTGTGGTTGTTAGTTTATTGAATTAGATACAAAATGGGGATTGTAATGTGACGATCACGTGAGGATTATGATATTTCTTCATCTATGATTCGTGTTTTCTTCGGTTTTTGATTCGGTGAGAATGTTTGTGTAGGCCTTAGGTAGGGGCAGAGAAAAGATCTTAAGAGAATGGTGAACATTAGAGTACAAAAAGGTCCGGAATCTCCGAGGACGATGGAGGTGGGAGAAATAGACACCAGAGCACCATTCCAATCGGTGAAAGCTGCGGTGAGCTTATTCGGAGAAGTTGCAGTCTCTAGGCAAAGAAGTACTCCAAGGCGATCACGACTTTCCTCTGAGGTAAGTAATCCAAAAACAACAACGTGGATCATTGTTTTAATACATGTCTCTAGAGATTTGTCTAGGTAACGGATTGTAATGTATACAATGCTTAAACCTTTCTTTTGTTATGTTTTAGAGCGTTTGCGACAAAGAAACACAGCTAATGCTGGTCAACAAGGAATTCATGAAGATCAAGCAAAAGCTTGACAACGCTGAGAGCACAAGATCTCGTGCTCTTGACGATCTCTCAAAGGCAAAGAAGACAATGGAGGATCTTAGCAACAAACTTGAGACTGTCAACAAGTCCAAGCAATCCGCTATTGACACCAAAGAAACTGTCCAACAGCGCGAAGAACAGCTTGAGCATGATAAGTGTCATGGCTCTCCTCCTCACCACCATGAACTTGACGTTGCTAGAGAACAATATATCTCCACCACCGTTGAACTCGATGCTGCAAAACAGCAGCTCAACAAAATTAGACAGAGCTTTGATTCCGCTATGGATTTCAAAGCCACGGCCTTAAACCAGGCTGCAGAAGCGCAACGTGCACTCCAAGTCAACTCTGCGAAAGTTAACGAGCTTTCCAAGGAGATATCGGATATGAAAGACGCGATTCATCAGCTCAAGCTAGCGGCTGCTCAGAATCTGCAGGAGCACGCCAATATTGTGAAGGAAAAAGACGATTTACGAGAATGTTACAGAACTGCTGTTGAGGAGGCAGAGAAGAAACTGCTAGTGTTGAGGAAAGAATATGACCCTGAGCTATCAAGAAATCTTGAAGCCAAGCTGATAGAGACAACCTCAGAGATTGAGGTTTTACGGGAGGAGATGAAGAAGGCTCATGAATCAGAGATGAACACAGTTAAAATCATTACAAATGAGCTTAATGAAGCAACGATGAGGCTACAGGAGGCTGCGGATGATGAATGCTCTCTCCGAAGCTTGGTGAATTCTCTTAGGATGGAATTAGAAGACTTGAGAAGAGAACGCGAAGAGCTTCAGCAGAAAGAAGCAGAGAGGTTAGAGATTGAGGAAACAAAAAAGTTGGAAGCTCTCAAGGAAGAGAGCTTGAAACTGGAGCAAATGAAAACAGAAGCTATGGAAGCAAGAAACGAAGCTGAAAATATGAATAGGAAGATAGAGAGTCTGAAGAAAGAAACCGAGGCCGCGATGATAGCTGCAGAGGAAGCTGAAAAGAGACTAGAGCTTGTTATAAGAGAAGTTGAAGAGGCGAAATCCGCTGAAGAGAAAGTCCGCGAAGAGATGAAGATGATATCTCAGAAGCAAGAGAGCAAGAAACATGATGATGAATCATCTGGTTCAAAGATAAAAATCACAATTCAAGAGTTTGAATCGTTGAAACGTGGAGCAGGGGAAACAGAGACTGCAATAGAAGAGAAGTTGGCAGCTATAGCAGCTGAGCTCGAAGAGATCAACAGAAGAAAAGCCGAAGCGGATAATAAGTTGGGAGCGAACCTGAAAGCGATAGAGGAGATGAAGCAAGCAACGGAATTGGCTCAGAAGTCAGCAGAATCTGCAGAAGCTGCAAAGAGAATGGTGGAAAGTGAGTTGCAGAGATGGCGTCAACAAGAAAATGTACAACATGCTTAGTGGTGATTTCATCTGTATAAAACCTTGTTTTTTTTCCAACATTCAAAGACAAAAAAAGACAATGAAAATGTTTAAGAATCAATCTCAGATACCAAAGTGTTTATCAACCTATATGGCTTTTATTTTACACAACAACAAATAACAACACACACAGGTCAACCATTTGTCCAAGGAATCTTCATCATCTTCAGGATTCCAATAACTGAGAAGGAAGACTACTAATCAGCTTCTGTCTCAAGAAATCCTCATAAGCCTCAACAATGAGATGATCATCGTCCCATTTATCACGGAAAGTGTCTGATTGTGTAGCAAGTCTGTAGTATCCGCCATCTATTTCCTGATACCTCCATTGTTCACCGGGTGGTGCGCCAATTTGCTCGGCTATCCAGTTGAGGTATTCAACCTGACCCCCACCAAGTCGATGTGTGTACCTCTTCGGTTGCCCGTAAGCCTCACGCTTTGCATAGTAGGCGGTCACGTCTTCCATCATTTTGTCTTCTGAAGGAAGTGTGACCCGACCGGACAAAGCTGCAGCCACCCACTTGCTTTGAAGCTCAAACATAAAGAATTGCAGAGTCTGATTTCAGATATAAAAATCTGAATTAGACAATGAAATATCCGAAAAAACTAAAAAGGCAAGGAAAGTAAGATTGAAATGAGAGACTTAACCATCCAGGGTAAACCGATGAAGGAAAGTCCGGGAGCAAGTGCAGGCGGAAACACGTGTTTGTAAAGCGGTCCAACACAGTTATCCTCGACAGTAATATAGCCATTGGTGTTGAGAAATGGGAAGTGGTATTTGTAACCAGTGCAATGCACAATGGTATCAGCTTGTACAACCTTACCATTCTGAAAAACAATCGACCCATCTTCGTGTACGCTTTCTATCTGCAAAAATTGAATCAATGACCATCTAGTATGACCAAAATGTCTCTTTTTGATCCTTTGTTATTTACCATAGAGTGAAGCCATAAATTGTTAGACCCGGGAAGTTTTGAGTATGTCTTAGATGGATTCGATCTAGACGCAATATGGACTTCTTTCGCCACTCCCGTTATGTCCCTGCTTATATCAGCTCCACTCGCAAAATTTCCAATAACTACCACCACCTTTCATAGATTGCAGACCAACAATGTAAGATAACTGAATAGATTTCAAACTCAACACCAACATACTTGAACTCATACCCAATATTCAGTCTAACCATCCAATACCCTACCTAAACACCCATCCCTTACCGAAACTATATAAATTCGAGTAATATCAACAGAATAACTACTAATATAAAATGAGAACTAGAGAAACAAAAGCTTTCCTCGTGTGTATAGAATGAAAATGAAAAGCACTTTTTCATAGTTGGCGAATAAGAAAAAGCATCTTTTTGTTTTCGTCGTTGAAAACGCACATTTTAAGTATTAATAAAGGGTATGGACAAAAGATAGATTAAAAAACTAAAATTAAGTAAAGGGTTCATATATTCTGCAAGAACCTGGTCTTTGAATTGATCAGGAACACGGTAATTGTGGCTATGAATCTGCTTCCCTGGCCATGAATCTATACCTAAAATAACAAAATTTTCTCATCAATCAAAAACATAAATCACTTCAAAACCATCGAATCTAAAAGAAACAAATTTTAGGATCGGGTTAAGAGAAATTGAAGTACCAGGAACATGAGCAACTCTTGGTTCTGTGTAATGTCCATTACAAACAACAACAGCATCAAAGATCTCATCTTTGGAGATCCCATCTGAATTTTTGGATTGAACCTTCCATTTTTGACCTTCAGGCTCAACAAGAACTACTTCGGTCTTAAATCTAACCATCTCCACAAGTTTGAATTCTCTAGCGAAGTCTTCAAGGTAAGCAAGAACTTCTCTGTGACTAGGGTACCTTCTCTGGTCTCTTGATTCGTCATCTCCAGGTCGAGGCACGAAGGGGAAGTCTCTGTAACCCATGCACTCTCGTGGGAGATTGGTTCGGAGAGAATCGTAGACACTTGAGTGGACGATGGTTCGGTTTGGATCGAGGCTAAGTGGGTCTGGTTCGCTGTTAGGTGTGTATACCCAGAGACCTCCGACTTTTGAGTCACGTTCGAAAACGACGACGGAGTGATTCTCGCGGCGTAGCTCTCGTGCAGCTACGAGTCCTGCGGCTCCGGCTCCGATCACTGCCACCTGGAGTGAGTTGACTCGGGTTCGTGCCGGTGCCATCTTTTTGTGTGACGCTCTGTTCTCCAAATTGGGTTTATATAGGAACGTCTTCGGTTCGGATTAACCGGTTCGGTCTAAAAACTAAACCAAATTTTTGTCTTAGTTGAACCAATCGAGTGTTAGCAATTTAATGACATGGACATACGCAACAAAGAGAACAAAAAAAGAAAGTGGAAACATTAACGTGTTGCAACAATTATGCTATAATTGACTAAATCGAGATCTTATTTAAGTGTTCATATATTCTCTTTTTGATAAAGAATTATTTTTGAAATTAAATAGTGGTAATATATTCTCCAAATACATAAAGGGATACTAAAAAGTCAAACTTTGCTAATAACCTTTCAGATTGGAACCAACCAAATAATTTTTTTTAACCTTTATTAATCACCTAACAACCGTAAAACAAAACTTTTAATTTTGTGGATTACCAAAAAATTTTGGTAACCTTTTTTATTCATATCATGCAACATCGAAATTTTAACTCTTGGTTATGTAGAACAACAAACTTTGGTCGGTTTGAATTTAGCAAAATCCCGGTAGGCTTCTTCGATAAGTTGATCATCATCATCCCAGTCATCACGAAAAGTGTCTTCATCTTTTTTTATGGCGATGTTATATTGTTCCTCTCTCCAACGTTCGATGGACGAGCAACCACACTGTTCCGCAATCCAGTTGAAATACTCAGTTTGCGAGATCAAAACTGCTTCATGTGGCTTAAGCTTTTCGAACATCGGAGTCCATTGAGGATCAGTTAGAAAATGCGTAAATCTCTTGGGAATACCCAAAGATTTAAGCTTTGCATAGAAAGCTATGACATCTTCCATCATTTTGTCCTCCGAAGGAAGCTTAACCCGACCCGATAAAACCGAAGCGACCCATTTGCTTTGGATTTCAAACATAAAGAATTGTAACGCCTGGATTAAGGACAAAGTTCAGACCAAGTAACGAGTCCAATGAGAAATCAAAGTCTATTTATCATGAAATTTGAACGAATAGGTACGAGATCAATTTGAATCAAAGAAATAATACCATCATAATCAGTTGTATAAGATTTACTAACCATCGAAGGTAAACCGATAAAGGAGAGTCCAGGGGCAAGCGCGGGCGGAAAGACATGCTTGTATAATGGTCCAACACGGTTATCTTCGACGGTCACATAACCGTCAGTTTCAAGAAATGGGAAGCAATACTTGTAACCGGTGCAATGTACTATGGCATCCGCAAATACCACTTTCCCGTCTTGGAAAACAACCGAACCATCCGAATACACGCGGTCAATCTATAACACATCAGGGTGGGTGGGTGGGGGAAAAAAATCAAGTAATCATATATCAAATTAAATGGTGTTTTTGTTAATTTTCTCTGCTTTTGTTTTTCATTATTTGCTTACCGTCGGATGAATATGTAGATTGCTATAAATGGAACTTTCCTTTTCGTATGCATCAGACTTAGCTGCAATATGGACTTCTTTTGCTAGGGTTGCTATGTCCCTGCTAATATCACTTCCACTGGATTGATTTCCTATCACTATCACCACCTACACATCTCAAACAACAACATTGTTGATCTCAACCTAATCTATAACAAAACATTTAAGAAACTGAAAAGACTAAATAGTCAAATTGATTTGTGGGCTTTTGTAAATACTTGATCTTTGAATGGATCTGGAACACGGTAATTGTGGCTATGGATTTGCTTTCCTCGCCATGACTCTATTCCTGAAACAAGAGAAATTACAAAACCATCGCCCTTAACATGCACACATTGGGATTTCAAAATGAGTAATTAACTCCGATTGGTAAATAGTGAATTAGCTAGTGGAATAAGACTTTTTCTTATTGTTAAAATAACATGTAAAATATGTCAACCAAATTAAAGAAATTTTAATTCTTTACCTAATTACAGATGTAGAAATAATCGTGTACACCAATCTTTGAAAAGCAATATTTTTTACAATTTAGAAATGAAGAAAAATAATATGTTATTCTTGAATTATTATCTAAAGAAGTTAAATATAATAGATTTAAGCTTCAACTACCACTTAGATGATTAAATAGAAACGAATTAACTTTAACTGCAAACTAATTACACTTAAAATTATTTACCAGGAATATGAGCAAGACGAGGCTCAGTGAAGTGACCATTGCAAACAACGACTGCATCGAAGATATCTTCGCCGGAGACACCATTTGAACTCCTAAATTGAACTCTCCATTCACGACTGTTCTCCGCCGCCGGCTCCACACGCAAAATCTCCGTCTCGAATCGAATCATCTCTTCGATCTCGAACTCTTTGGCGAAGTCTTGCAGATACCTCATGACTTCCCTGTGATCCGGGTACCGTCTCGGGTCCCTGGACTCGTCGTCGGGTCGGGTCACGAACGGGAAGTCACTGTAGCCCATACACTCTCGTGGAAGATTGGTGCGGAGGGATTGGTAGATGCTAGAGTGGACGATGGTTCGATCCGGGTCGATGCTCAGTGAGTCTGGCTCGACGTTTGGAGTGTAAACCCAAAGTCCTCCTACTTGTTTCTGACGCTCATAGGCGGTGACGGTGTGCCCTTCACGACGAAGCTCTCGAGCCGCCACAAGCCCGGCAGCTCCGGCTCCGATCACGGCCACGTTACGTGAGCTGATTGAGTTAGGCGGTGGTGTCATTGTATCAGTCAAAGTATTTGTTTCCTTGAAGAGTGTGTTACGATCCTTATAAATATAAGTAAATGGTCTTGAAATTGGACCGTTATTAGAGTCTTTCCAAATTTCACTACGTATGGGGATTACAAGTTCGATAGTGCAACCTCTTTCTCACACGTGTAAAAGTCATACACGTGTTCATGATTCTCAAGTTTTTTGTCAAACGATAAGAAAATTTAATATTACCAAAAAACGTAAAATTGTATCACTATATAAAATCAAATAAACATATAGTATCATATAAATTTCATTTGTGAAAGTAATTCACTACTCTATTTATATATGATATATCCATTAAAAAAAGGAAAAAAAAAAAGAATGCAATACTCTCTATTTTTAGGTCAATTCAAGAGGAAGGTTACTAAAGAGAAAACAAAATGTAGAAAACCAAAAAAAGTACAACTTTTTGTAATACTTTGAGAAAAAAAAAATCCGAAAACCAAGACAGTAAAGAAAAAATTCTATCCCCGTACACCGAACGCTTAAAAATGATAGAATCGAGAAAGGACCCATCTCATAACATTATAGTAGAAATTAAAATGGTTTAATTTAGATCGTATGAGAGAGGTAATAACATAAGGAAGATAACAATAAATATTTGTGGGGGAATGCTGCAATTAAGAGAAAAAGATGGAAAAAGCTGGAAACTGGGCTACAAAGCCTTCTCTACTGTCCCAACACTTATGTTTGGTCCCTCTTTTTTCTCCAACCCACACAGATCTGACCATCTAATCTCCCACTACACGACACAGCTGCGGCTGCCTGCAACAAATACTCTTTTTTATCATTATTATTATTCTTTTTTATTCAATTAATTAATTCTCTGTTTAAAGAAGAAAAATAAAGAGACTATTATATTATGGTCAGTTGTGACCAGTTAAATGACTAAACAACCCTAATTCGATCATCATTAGGAAAAAAGGAAAAAAGTAAGGAATCCTAAACACACACCTAAAAATCTTTTGTCAAACTAGTAATAATAATAACTTTTGTTCTTCTTATAAAAGTTTTATTTATTATATAAATCTCAGAAAAAGATAGCTGATGTTGCACACTAACCACTAAGAGACCTTTTTTATCTCTCTCTCTATATTTCTGAGATTTGAGAGAGTCTCCTCTCTCTCTCTCTCTATCGTTCCTCATGATCCGATTTTTATATTTATAAAAATTTATGTGATAATTACAGATACACGTTATTTGTGTGTATATTGATGGAGACAATAACCATTGGAATCTGACCATGGATCTCTTTTCTTCTTGAGATATTTTTTTTTCTCCTGTTCTCGTCTCCCCCAGATCTGTTCCTCCATTGGAAAGCTTCAAGCTTTTTTATTCTCTCTCTGGGTAATTCTTTAATTCTTAGAAAATTTATTCATATTGAAATTTTTATAGATTGTTATTTTTATTAGTTTTTTTTTTATCTAAAGTCGAAGTAGTACTTCATGAAGTTGATGCTTTTACTTTTCCTCTTATAGTTCTCTTCTGTTGAATTCGGAATTTAGGAATATGTATATAATCTATCATCAAAATGTGAATAATGAATATATATTATCGATTGTTTCTTTTTATGGAATCACCTATTGAATTTTTTTACTTATTTGCATGCTTTGAAAAGTTATATAATCAGAAGCCTGAAGATTTTTGTGTTTGGATTATCAATAAACACTAGGTTTAGTTTTCATCTAATGACTTAGGAAGGTTTAGCAGAGGTTTTTAGAATCAAACCATCGAGAATTGGATTACATAGGAACAGAATCTTGATTCCTTTTCAAGATCATAGGAACAGTTTGATTTTAGGTATTGATCATCTCATTTTGTCCTGTGTATGTGCGTTGTTGGCATTTGATAGGGACGGGACCATTGTGTAAAAGAGTTAGTTAGATCAGACGGCGGCACGATGTATTTCTTCGGTTTGTCCAAAGAAGAAGTGTTGTCACAGAAACATGTTGTATCATATAAAGAGACTTCTAAGCAGAATCCAATCAATATGGTCACTCTGTTTGGGAGACAGGTAGAGATTTTGTAGCTTATTCAGATTCTAGTTTGTTTCAAGTTTTGACCTTTTTTTGATGTGTTGTTAGATTGTTCACAAGTTTTTTCATTTCAGGTGTATCAGGTGGAAAGCGAGAGCTCCAAGTCCGACGATGGATATCAGAGACTAAACTCACCTAAGCTGCTGACGAAAGATATCGATCTTCGGCTTCCTGCAGATCACTACGCTTATACTAACTTTCATGAGACACTTGGTTCTGGGAAATTTTACGGCATTGGTGGTTACCAAGATACCGTAGAGATGAGATTTCATTCGGGGCATGAAGGTAATAATGTGAAGGAAGCATCAGCCACAAATTGGAGTGGCAAGAGAAATCCAAGAATTGTTATTGATCTTGAAGAACCTCCTCCCACATGGGTCTCCCATAGAGAGACTACAGAGCATGCTTCGGCTTCTGTTAGCTATGTTACTGTAAGAAATCCTGAAACAAAACCGTCGTTCTTTGATCGGATCAGCTCAAACATTCTGAAAGTGGTGGATCAATCTCTTGTTGAGTATGATAGTGATAAAACGACTAGCAAGGAGCCAAGTTTACTGGATCTTAATAGTACCCCGGTTGATGAGTCTGTTTCCGAACCTCATTATTGTTTCTTACAAGATCTGAACTGTCCATACATCGAGGAGGAGACAGAAACGAGCTGCGAGAAGAGTGGAATAGATGATGGTCCTACACCGCTTTGCTCTCCTCAATGCCAAAATGTCCATGAAAAAGACGGCACAGCATCTCCAGCTTCGTATACTTCTTGCTGCACCACAGAAAACAACTCGAGGACAGAGTCGAGAAGAAGTTCTTCTCCTCGAGCACTGGAGCCTTCTTGCCGTACCCGGCTTGAGTTTACCAACACAGAAGACTTACTGGAGGAGAATGGATGTTGTAACGAGGAGGAAGATTCGTCTGAAGTGATTCAAATGGCAGCTGAATCATTAGTCCACATATCGGAGATTTCATTTCAAAATCAAGACTTGCAATCAAAGCTTGTGTCAAGAATCAGCAGCTCATCTCAAGATCAAGACTTTCCAGATAAACCCGAGATGGGTAAAGCGGAACCAGGATGTTCATGCGATTCATATGAGCGACACACATTAGGAATAAGAGAAACTAACACTGAAGAAGACTTCTGTGTGTCATCAATGGCTCGAGATGAGCTTTATAACATCACAAGAGATAGCAACAAAGAGATTGGACTCAAGCTGAGAAGAGGGAGAAGAATGAAGAACTTCCAAAAAGAGATACTCCCAAGCTTAACGTCGCTCTCTAGACACGAGATCCGAGAAGACATTAACATCTTGGAAGCAGTTTTGAGATCAAGAGAGTACAAGAAGTTGCAGGGAAAGACGAAAGATGTCAAATTCAGAGCAAACCCAAGAAACAAACGTTCAGCGCCGCAAAGGTGCGTTGGTAAAAGAAACCGAAAATCCGAGTGATATCGATACCTTCCCGGATTTAGATTCTTTCATACAATTGCTTCATCATGTAATCTTATAACAGTCTTTGTTATCGATTTATTTGTTTTAACTTATGACATTGATTATGATAAGAGGAAAGGCTAGTGAGACGATTACATTCATTTTCTCATTCTCTCTCAAATTGTTACTTAAGCAGTTAAGCCTATCATTTCTTAACATTACATTTTCAAATTGTCGTAATAGATCGTTAGAAGTTAAATGCAATCTTCAACTCCCATGTAAAAGATCCAAGTAAGACAAGTTTTTCTAGTCAATAGTGTTGATTGATTCTACTTCTTCTGCTTTAGAATTGTCTTTGGTTATCTTCATGAATGTTTTGACTTTTGTTTTGAGTTATAAACGGTTTAAGCCCAAACTCAAGACCAACACTCAACAATAGATGATGAAAGTTTAAATAGGCTTAGTTGTCTATCTAACTCGGCCCACTTTTATGGGCTAAGCCCCAATGCAAAATGAGTTAGCAACCCAATTAACTTGTTTTATCTAATCAAATTCATGTCAATAAAAGTTTTCAGATGCAAGTTTTCAGATTCATAATGGTTATATTAACATAGATATTATAAATAGCCCTTTTATCATTTTTTTTAGTGTAAATATCAGATAAACTTTTATTTTCTTAATATAAGCATGTGGTATATTATTTTAAAATTACATATTATCATTTAGTACATTAAACATTGATTTGTATAATACCACCTTACATAACTAAAAAGTATATTCAATGAATTAACGTTTTAAATTTTACCCACGGTTTTTAGGGGTTGTAAGAAACTAAGAATCGTCAATGTCACCAGTGACCCTATGATAGTTCGATCTTCGATGGTGAAGTTAAAGAAGTTGTGGTCGTCGATGTCACCAGTGACCCTATGATAGTTCGATGATTCGATCTTGGATAATGAAGTTAAAGAAGTTGTGGTCTTTTTGTGACCAGTAGTAGACAGAAAGAAAAAGGAAAAAAAGACAAACCAATGGAAAGATCAAAGATACTCTGCTCAAAAGAAAAAGTTAATTCTTCCCCTTTCATGTCTTTTCTAAGTCAAATAAAGACACATTAAACTAAAGTTACTAAACTAGAATTCTTTAAACCAAAAGTTCATTATTACACGTTGTGATTGGCTAATGTAGTTTCCAGATCCAAAAAGTCTCATTTCATCATTATTGCTCTTCCACCAATCATTACAGTAAATCATATTCATATGTTTACTTCTCAAGATATTTCTAATTTTGTTCTATATTTTTATTTTTCACCACTAGTTTTGTTCTTTAATTGTCGCGAATATAGTGGAGAATATGCAAACTATAGCATATTATATTGCTGGCATTTAATGTATTTGGGCCAACTAATATTATTAAAATATATATGACTACTTTTTAATATATATATATATATATATGTATATATGTTTACTCAGAACTACATATACTCAGAATGAAAAAAAAAAAAAAAAAGAGAGAAGGTTTTCTAGTATAATTTCCTACAATTATTAACTAAATAAAAATCATAAAATGAAAACTAGTTGAACTAAGTATGCTACAAATAATTAAATTCAGGTACCTCTCACGATAATACTCTGTCCCAGCTCCAAGCCTCCAATACGATAAAGAAAGTTGTTGAAAGAAATATTACACGCATATATATGGTTATACTAAAATTAAGTTTTTAGTTCATGAATCGATGGATTTGATTAATTAATCTCCATATGGAAGAATGGATTTAATTGATCTATCTATTATCCATGCCAGAAATGATCAATATATATATGTCTAAACTCACAGATTTTAAATCAACATGATTGGGTGGGGGATATTTAAGAATTATTATTTTGTATTTGAAAACTAGATAAGAATTGGGAGACAACAGTTAGACAAAGAAACGTGCACAGAACATTCCTTACTATTTTATATCGTAAGCAAATTAAATACAGTGCAAAACAAATTAAGATCCCTACAATTAGCTCATCTTCTATAATTTTGGAACAACTGCATGAGGGGTTTATCTTTATCTGGAAATTAAGACCGATTCGATGACAATTCATCATGATTATAACTATTATAATAATTTTTCTAGTTTCTCACACCCAATAAAAAAAAATAAAAAAACTAGATTGTTGATCATTTTAGGCAATGAAATCAAAGTTTTTGAATGAAAAATGGTTTTCGTCATAATAATGGATTTTAATTCCTTAAACAAAACTATATATTATATTTTAACACCATACTATGTTGCATATGAATAAGTTCAATTTTTTTTATATTGGTGAAATAATCATTAATTCTTTATAGTATTTCGTAACTATATGTTCGCATAACACATTGTGGACACCGAAGATTCTTTATCCAATCAGCTACATAGTAGTATAATATAAAAGTAACAAGTGTAAGATCTTACCCAAAAAGAAGTAAATCATATTTGATCATTGTCATATTTAAATAAATTATATATGTATTGGACTTAATCATGCAGCTCCTTAATAATTCAAATTACTTGACCAGTCGTCATCGAGAGACAATTGAGCCAGTAAATTCTCAGAGCTCGGTCATGAATTCAACTCTAGTATTAAAAACAAACTTTTTTGTTTTGTTTACCAAGATTACAAAAGGTGTGTCCACTAGCTAGCTAGTCGCCTAGTGCTGGTCCAAATTACTCATCTTTGAAAACAATAATTTAAAACTAAGTGAACAAAAAAAATCGTTGATTGCATGTTTGCATCAATCTCAGGCCTTGAAATTTTTAAGTTTTTTGACATACTGGAAAGTATATGAAAATGGAAATTCAAGACAAAAAGACGTTAATTGCGTCAAATCTTAGGAAATTTTACAATTTCTGCTTTTATACAGAACCTGATGGGAAAACTTTAACTTTTATCCCTTATCGGTCGGTCCATTATTTGTCGACTCGGAAACAAGAGGTAATTAAGAAAAAGCATCATAAAAATATACCACAAAACTCAAAATCAAATTCAAACATATCAACATAGACATGCACAGTGTTCATCATCATGATCATGATCAATGACCCATTGGAATACTCGGCTCATCATCCAACTCAATCCCGACATCAGCTAGTCTTTTTTCTTTGTAAACGTACCACTTGGAGAAAACGAGGAAAATGAGGAAGTTCAAGGCGACAAGTACGGCCACAAGCCAGTAGAAATTGTAAAGACGTCCCTTGTTGAGATCATCGGCAATCCATGGATGAGCGTTCCCGGTGAATTTCTCGACGATGGTCACGAGAACCGAGCTGAAGAAAAACCCTAATGCCAATGTGCTCAGCAATAGACCCGTGCTCATCCCTTTCATACCTTTAGGGCACTCTCTCAAGAAGAAATCTAACTGTCCCGTGTAGATTAATGCCTCGCCGATACCGACAATAAGATATTGTGGGATGAGTAGATAAAACCCTAGAGGAAGTGTTTTGACCGTTGGACCATGGGCATTCGCGGTTCTAAGACGTTTTAGCTCTACCAAAGCAGCCACAGCCATAGCCATTGATCCGAATAAAAGCCCCAAACCGATCCGTTGAAGCGGTCTAAGACCATGGGGGTAGTTGAATAGCTTTTTGCATAGGCGAATGGCGACGCGGTCATAGAGGGCGGTGGTTAGGAGGAGGCCACCGACGTAGAAGACTGCCATCGATGCTGGAGGGATCTCAAAGCTCCCGATGTGACGGTCCATTGTCTCGGATTGTGCTACTGATAATGTCGTTAATTGAGCGTGGACGGTCCAGAAGAGGATGCATGTTGCCCAGATTGGTAACATCCGCACGATTTGTTTCACTTCCTCAACATCTGTTAGTGTTGAGAGTGTCCACTTGTTGAATACATTCGAGGTAACTCCCGCTTCCTGATCCCTTATTGCTGCCTTATCCAATGAACTGTGGTATCAAAAATGATATAAGAAATAGTTAGAATATAATTGTAAATTATGTAAACCTGAGATAAAACTATTTTGTTGGATTAAAGACAAGTCTTAGATTTGTGACAAAAGATCTTTTGTGTGTTTCTTACAAATGTGAAATGTCCCTATTTATTGAAATTTCATAGATTTATTATTATTATCAATAATACTTTCTTTTTTTGGAATATAGCTTACGCATTGTATATTTGAATCAACATGTTGTGGAGATAGTTACGTGGACTCTTTTCAAGATAATATACCCTTCACACACATGCATGAATACTACATATGCACATACGTAATTGCTTTTAAAATAGTGTATGAAAAGAAAAGGTAGAGTTTGAAAATATGGAAAAATGTAAAAGTTTTTTTTCTTTAGTTTTCAACTACCTTTTAGAGAGACCCAAACGAAAGACAAATTAAATGAAGCACCGAGCACGCAAAGCACGTGTCGTGCATGTGACGCTAGGGTTCTTAATTATGCCTAACTTTGGGTCTGTCCCGGTGAAGGTGTAAAGTAGTGGAGGTGCTACGACACGAAATTTGATCGTTTTCACTACAGACAAAACATCGGTCTCCCTAACTTCTCGTCTCTTCTTTTTTATTAGTTTTATTTCCAAAAAGGAAGAAATTCAAATATCTAGAGATGCTAAATAGATTTTCCATAAATTATCTGGAATAAAAAAAAATGGATTCCTTTGGATTCTTTTGTTTCTATGTAGGCATGCATTGGGATTGATGGATAAAAGATACCGTACTTAAGTTAGCAAAAATAAAAGATACCGTACTTAAAGGGAAAAAAACTCAACGAGTCAGTGTGTGTCAGTGTATGTGTATTTAAGTTATAAGACATTAGAATTAGTTGATAATAATAATAATATAATGATATAATAACAAATTGATGTATTTAATTTTCCGCAATGATGAAAATACTCTGTGTTAAAACCAAATATTCTACGAGTGGGTGTGAAATTTTCTTTACAAATATTTTATAGGTAAAAAGTAAAGATGGAGAATTTTTACCCCACTTGATATTTATTTTCTAACCACTTGCATATACTTATTCATTTGTTTATCTGAATTTATTTTATCATTATGAGAGACTTTTTTTTTCTTTTCCTACCTATTATATGAACCGAACTTAACGTGTTATCTAACAAAGATACACATGCACACATATATATACAGAGAGAATTCTAAGGAAAAAATCTACGATATAAAATGACAAAGTAGGGACTTTGACCCAAAAAATCCATAAATGTTGTAATTAGCTGTAAAATTCGTATCATGGACCAGTTTCGCTGTATGGTCGAGTAATAATATTATGAAAATAATTTATTTTCCCCATAACAAAAGACAAAGAAAGATATTCAAGGCCTTTTAATTAATTTCTAATGGCTGTCAAAAAAAAATTGATTTCTAATGCCAAGTAGGCATATAATGAGAAATATTTGTGGTCCCACTATAATTAAAGGACACGAGCTTTTCGAGTTATTTCTCACCCACACAACCCCACTTTTAATTTCACATTTTTAAAGTCTATTGACACGATCACATTTAATTAAGGGAACCAACACCTCAATTATTTGAAATTAGCCCTTAAATGAAAAAGAAAAAGTGTCAAATTTTTATCTTAAAATTATTGTAAATTTTGGGAATCGTACGTGGGATCTTTTAGTAAAATATGTTTAAAAATCTAGTGTCAAGCAAATGATGATTTAATTAAAAGAATCGTACCGGAATTGCTCGGTGTGTGGCAGCTTTTGTTTACCCTTCATCGAACCTTCCGCCGCAATAATATCGTCCACGTCGTAGAGATACGACGGATCTGCCGGCAGCTCGAGCTTCCTATTCCTCCACGCTGCCACGATAACCGCAGCAACCTGCGTCATCGGACTACCGATCAACTTCTTGAAACGGTATCGGTTTGTGCCGGCCAAGAAAACACTGAGTGCAAGCACGATCGCAAACGCACAAATTCCATAGCCCCATTTGCGTCCAACATCGTCTTGTACGTAGACAAGAACCGTCACGGCTAAAAGAGAGCCAACGTTGATACAAAAGAAGAAACGGTTGAAGAAATATGTCATTTTTGATCGTTCTTTTGGTTCGGTCTCATCGAATTGGTCCGACCCGAAACCCGAGACACTAGCCTTCACGCCTCCCGTTCCTAGGGCGGTGAGGTATAAGGCTAAGTATAGGACCGTCAATTGTATTCCACTTGCTTGTTCGCAATGAGACGACGTCGTTGGGTTGCATCTTGGTGGTCGAAGTCCCGGTATGATTGTTGATAGAGTTAAGATTGAAACACCCTGACATCATCATAGTCCATAACATAAATATTATTTTTTCGGAAAACTATAACCAAATAAACGACTTATGTTGTTTACTATTTCGATTTGTTTATTAGACTAGTCAACTTTTTTTTTTTAATCTCTTCGTTTTCTTGGTTATAAGTTTTGGTAAGGAGAAAGGGACTTTTGAGGTCCTTACCGTGGCTTGGATTGCGGCGAATATAGCAATCGTTAGGTACCTATACAAAACAAAATGAATGAACTCAAATTATTATTTTAAAAAGAAATTGAATGACTTTAGTTAAGTTTTTTTTTTTTTTTTTGTAAACCGACTTTAGTTAAGTTATGTATATATATTTATATACAAACCTGCCGAGAAAGGTATCAGCGATGAAGCCACCGAGGAGACAGAGCATGAAAGAGGTTCCGAGGAAATTGGTAACGGTGTTAGCCGCCGTTGCATTGCCTAAATGCATAGTTCCCGTCAAATACGTCACCAGGTTAACTCCGATACCTAATGTCGTCAGCCTCTCCACCGCCTCAATACCTTCACACAATTTTTTTTTGTTAATTAAAAAGTTTGATACATCAGGAAGACATAAAAAATGAAAATAATACCCATAAGAACCTTATAACTTAGTAAATGCCATTAAAAAGTTTCAATTGTTGTCTTCAGCATATATATTGTTGGTAGCTTTTTTTCTCTAGAACTTTCTTTTTGTGATTATACTTACAAAGAATCATGGCGGCGCTGGCCCAGCCGCCAGTTTTTGAGCGATCGGCGGGGCGGCCTTGGAAGTCCCAAGCATCAAGAAGGACATCAGATTTAGTTTCAGGAAGAGACATATCTTGAAGATGGACTACAGATCCTTTTTTCTTGCAGTTTTTGGGGGTGTTTTGTTCTTCTGGAAAAGGCTGTTTTGTTTGAGAGCTCTTGGTTTCTTTTGTGGTATGAAATGTGTTCATCGATACATCTATTTATACTGGGAAACTTGCCAAGTTAAAAAAGTTTTTATTGTTTTATTTTGATTTTTCATACATAAAAATAAAATATTGAAGAAAAAAGTGACACATGTGTGACTCTGATGAGTGTTGTTTGATTGGGGAGAGAATAATTAATAAAAATAAGTAGTAGTATATATTTGTAGAAAGAGAAAATTGAGAGAGAGAAAGAGACCACACCTAAATTTTACCACTTCCTCTACCTTTGGAACTGTGGGCTTGAACTTTTAAGTTAAAGTCATTGGTCATTTTGTCAGTGACTCAATGCATTAGCCATTAAGCGCATCAGTTTTACCCACCAATTTTACATTTGTTCTATTTCTTAGAATATTATTTTACTTCCATTGAAGATACTAAATTCTTTCTTTTTGAAGGAAAAAAAAAATAATTTCTTTCTTTTTTACGTCTGAACTATAATATATGCAAAATAAATCAAAATAATTGATTTCGGTGTTACAGACGCATTTTCATCAATATTGTTCATTTGGATCTGTATTATTGTCAAGCCATCATATCTATTTCTTTTATTGAGTTGCCCGAAAGAAAAAAAAAATCTGTTTCATTTTTTTGTTTGCTCAATATCAACTTTACTTCTTGGCCCATTCAGTTGTTCCATGGTACAACCACATTTTATTTTCTAGTTCCAAAAAACGTTATTATGAGGAATGTTTTTCGATGGTAAAAAAAGAAGTCTCTTGATAATCGACTCATATTAAATTGAGAGTCATGTTTTCTTTCACATGTAATTATCAAATTATAATTTTCTTGCATAGAGTTTGAGGAAACAATTAAAATATAGGAAATTCAATCAAAACATCTAAATAGAAGTCAATAAAAGTCCTTTTAGGTATTTGTTTTTTGTTTGTCAACAATTTAGGTATTTGTTACAAAATTGAAACCAAAGATTTGTAAATGTTGGTATGATTACATTTATGTACCAACTTTTTTTCTTTTGCGTTAATGGGAAAGTCTACCTTGAGATTTAATGGCTCAAAATGTATGCTTCTTAGACGCCACTAAAATAAGTCATGCTGCAATATGATTATTACCTTACTTTTCATTTATTTAACGTATAGTGAAATAAAATACAATAAAGGATATGGTCACAGGACTTTTATGAACTACATATATATTTAGGAGTCTCGCAACTTCAATGGTTCTCTTTCTCTCTTGAGAAAATATATAGGAGTATAAAGAAGAAGAAAAATCGGAGAACGACTCATTTTCATTCAACAATTTAATTTGTAAGAGAAGGTAAGTTAGTTTTATTAATAAGTCCCAAAGTCTATGTAAAATATCCAATATAAAAACGAGTCAATTTTCAAGAAAAACAAGAATTGTATGTTACCTAACTAAAACATATATTTGAATCAGTTTTTTTTTTTTTTAAGTAATTATTTATTAAATAATTTATTTTCGAAATTCATAAAATTTACTGTATACTTTGTGTCATGATCCATCTCTTTCCGAATTATTGATATGCAGATCGATGAAATTTCAAACCCATCAATAAACACTTTTTTCGTTGCTAGTTTCATATTGAGTATATCCCCGACAATCGATTAATTTGTACACATCCAAAGATTGTGGAAGAGCGAGAAAAAAAGTCACAATGAAGAGTCCCATCTAAAAAGAAAAGGAGAACGAGTGGTGAACCCAAATATATTATCTTCTATTGAATTAAATTAATAAATGAAAAGGAAAAAGAAAAGAAATTAATGAATACTTTATAAAGATAAACCCTAAATTCAAAATGGAAAATAAAAATGAAAATGGATGGATCAAATGTTTTGGGCGGAGCTGGCTTTTGCTTATAGGTATATTATCTCAGGGCCCAGATTTTTGGCACGTGACAGTTGGTAGGACCACGTGAGATTCTCCCTCAGCGTTGACTCGGTCATTTCAAGAGGATGAATCTTAATCGATATTAGCAAGTTAGCACGAACATGGAAACTACCTTTTGCTTCAATTTTAATTTTAATTTTTACATTTAAAATGAAGATTTACAGTTTATAACAAACCTATAATTCACTACCGAATAATATTACATTCTTTTTTTGACAAACCATCAGAGAAAAAAAAAATTCTTTACAACAAGCTTTAAATCCCTTAGCATGTAAACAATTTTTAATCTTGTTAGGATAGAAAGAACCCTTAAAAAATAGTTTAAATTCAGATAAGATATTGATTACAACAACAAAAATTACTAAACTATATGTATATCCTAAATTTTAATTTCATCAACTGGTTAATTACTTATTTTCTTAGCTTGATAGATAAAAATTAAATAAAGTTGTAGGGTCTAAATGTGTAACATTGACAAAACTTAATGATTTATTACAAACTATATGATATTTCTATTCCAGCAGGTGACAAAGGAAGAAAAAAATACAGATTCAATTTTTTAAAAGGATTGATTGAATCATGTAGAAGAAGGGTATCGAATTAAATAATTGGGTATGGAATCCTTCTGAGTATCCCAAAGGCCATGGTTGACCAAACACAGGAATGACAACTTGTTCAATAATACAATGTTATATAATATTGTAAATATAGTATGTTTTTTGAAATTGTATCCTTCTTATTATAAAAGGGATTATGTTAGAATTATCGGTTACGGCTTCTTGATTTCGTCACTAATTATGAAATTAATTAACAATGTGTTTAGGAGAAATAGATGGCTAACCAGGATGGTAAAGAAAACGTCCACTTGTCACAAAAAGGTGAAACAAATTATTGTTTTATTTGCTTAATTGACGTCAAATTTGATTTTGTTTAATGCATCCCACTCCCTCGATCGTATCTGCGCATAAATCATATTTTTTCCTTCTCTAAAATTCCAACTCAAGAAGACGAGAATACGAATTAAACCAAATTAAACATTAAGAAAAATGTAATTTGAGTAAAAATAAAATTTAAACACTGAGTAAATCAGGAACACAATAAATTAATTGATTTGTAAGTTTGAACCAACAAGCAACAACCTCCTCATTAAATCATTGTAGACACTTGCATGTACAAACGAAATTCATAATAGTTTCAAGGGGTAGTTGTGATAGTGATTTTAACCAAGTTGGTGTACGGATGATAAGAGACTCCACAGTTAAAATTTAGAACTCTGCACAAACTATTGCATCTCTCTAATTTGATTTTTCATAAGTTTACAAGGCTGTTTACGATCTACTAAATGTCTTTAAAGCAAAATGGAAAGACCCTAAACCGTTTAGAATTTCTGATTACTTTTCAAGACATGTGAGTATTCGGATAAATTTTCATTTAAAACATTTACAGTGGTCAAACATTAATATTAATATGTGTGTTACATGCCTTTGCTATCCACAAGTAAATTGACATATGTTATTAAAATCATGAATAAGCATATTGGTGTGATCATCTCTACAAGATACCAAATTTTAGAAAGACCAACTTATGTTTCTTCTTTGTCGATAATATTATTTTTTTGATCAAAGTAGTTTGTTTTTTTTAAAAAGTAGCTAGAATCATTTTGAACCCAAATCTCATGATAAATTAAAAAAAAATATCATCTTTTTTTTTTTCGTCAAAAAAAAAAAAAAAAAAAAAAATCATCTAACTAGGTAAAATAATCACATTTGAAGTATGGAAGTAACTCAACTGTGGTTTTCAGATCACGACGATGGAATCAGCTTCGAGATTAAATTTATCAATATCTAAACGGTACTCATCCGGTTAATTTAACCGTAGTTGAGTTATTTAATAACTTAGGTGTGTCTAGTCGAACTTAATATTTAAAGCTAAGAAAAGAAATACTAACTATTAATTAGATGACCGATGGGCGGCACAAGCTCTCTCTCTTGATAAAAAGTCAAATACTAAATAACTAAATAACTAAATAATTGAAATAATTGTTTTTGACTTACGGGGACAAAACCATATTATCACGTTTTATTACGAGGACATATGAGAACTAGATGTATTATGTATATACCAAAGAAGGTTATATCTCGGGAAGCTTTTGGGGAATCATACCGGATCCTGGGTACAAGTTCTACCAACAGCGGAAAAATCATTATTACTTATTTTGATCTTTGTTTCAAAAAAAAAAAAAATCCATAATTTATTAGTTTTTTTTTTTAATATGGAAACTTCGAATTTAGATCCATACATTTTCCAGAATCGAAATAAGTTTTTGATAACTTTTTTCTAACGAAAATCAAACTCATGTTCTCCTAAATACTTACATATAGTATGCGTGGAATTAAATTCCAGTGATGACTTTTTTTTGGTCAAAAAATTTCATCGATTATGCTACAAATTCTGATCATTGAAAATTGAGACTTTAAAACTATGTTTACTACGTACAAATATTTGTTAGTTTATGTTTTAAACCAATTACTGAAAGAAATTTTATTAGATAAAGGACTTACGAATAGATAATGCGAAGAGGGGAATCGAAAATGAAAGATACCTTACATCACTGCAAAAGAAAATGATATTGTTAAGTACGTCGTGATCTTTGGAAATGAACCAAACATCTAAATATGGTCTTTTTGATGTTCTCAAAAGACATCTTTTAATTATACCTAATTTTAATTAAGCAAAGACACCTTAATCAGAGTCGTTTGTCTAAACGTTCACAATGTCCTTAAACGAAAGCAAATTCGTCGTTTGTTTAATTTTGAAAAAAAAAACTAATAAATCTTGTTCGATTAATGTCTATACAACATTTCTGATATATCAACAGCTAGCATTCTAGTTCAAGTTAGTTGATCCCTATTTCAGCAGCTAAAATGTATACTAGCAGTTTTTTTGTTTATTTTTGACATGAAAAATGTAAAAAAGCAGTTTAACTGTGATGATAAATTTGTTAAAATTTTTGATTTTATTGAATAAAGCTCAAGAACAAGTTAAAGTTTATGATTGTTTAGTAGTGTCGATATGATCATATTAAAGGATATATATTAAAAACTTGGTA